TTTTGTTGCAATTTCTAGAAGCTTTTTTCATTCCTATTTGATTTCAAAGTAACCACATTTTGCTAACGACCGATTTTTCTTTTTCCAGCTTCAACATAGCGACGTATTAAGTCCTTAGTTTCCGTTTTATGTTTGTTTTGTTTTCCCAGGATACGCGTATGTGAACGAAATTCAGGACGGAGAGTACAGAATAAAAGCACTTCAACATTTTGTCCTTTTATTCCATTGTCTCAACAATTTTCCGCCACTTTTGTTATTTTTCGTGTTATTTGCTAAAGGTTTTGTCCTTTCAGCAATTTCAAAAATTTTAAGCTCCACTGATTGCATATACATTTAAGCCAAATAGCAACAATTAGTAGTGAGAAGACAACAACAATAAAAACTGCTTAGATAAAAAAAGTGTGGCGTTGAACAGAAGTCCGAGTCCGAGGATTTCTAAATGTCTTTGGTAATTTGCATTTAACAAGCGAGTAAAAGCTAAATACACTTCGCAGTTTATGGGGCGTATGAGAAACATTTTCTGTTATTTTAAATCGAAATTTGCAAAAGAAGTGTTTACCGTATTAAGTAATGTACAAGATGATTGAAGAAAGTATGAGGAATAAAGATTCGCAAAAGAGAAGTGTGAGTGGGAGGACAAAAAGGAGATAATAAATTTAGGATAATATGAAGCAAACAAATTTTAGATGACTGAAGAAGGCGAACTGTGGTCAGATCGCGGTGTATATTGCAGTTCCTAATATTTCGTAGAATCTTGTTCTGGAAACGTAGGATTATTTCGACATTACTTTGTCTAGCGCTTCCCCATAGTTCACCGCCATATGACCATATAGGTTTTAAAATTTGATTACATAGTAAAATCTTGTTTTGCATGGATAGTGTGGATTTGCGGCCAATCAGCCATTCAATTTTTCGCAACTTCATATCAAGCTCGTCTCGTTTCTTTTTTATGTGTTCCTCTCATCGATGTTTTGCGTCCAATGTTATGTCACAAGATATTTTGCAGTGTTGGCATATGGTATCTGGGTACTTTGAATAGAAATAGGAAAGTATTGTATTTTTTTATTTGTAAAATCCACATGAACAGATTTAGCAGAATTCAGTTTGATACGTCATCTTTTTGTCCAATTCTCTAACGAATCTGTAGCTGTTTGTAATTTGATTATTGATTCTTCAACGGAGTCAGCAATCGACAGAATGGAAGTATCACCTGCAAATGTTGCAATTTTACTTTCAGGTGTTATTGGCAAGTACGTTGTGTAAGCAGGTATAGTAGTACACTCTCCTGAGGAATACCAGCTTTTATTGCAGATAGGTTTGAGTAACAGTTTTCGTGTTTTACATAAAAAACCTCGTGGTAATGTAAGATTTCAAAACCGCAAAACATGATGACAGCAAATATATTTCTAGTTTATTTAGAAGATTTTTGTTGCAGACTTTGTCTGCGCGACATCGAAGAATACAAGAGAACACACTTTTTTACCTTCAATAGCCATTTCAATTTCATCGACAATGCGGTGTATTTGATCTATAGTCGAATGTTTGCCACGAAAATCAAATTGATGGTTTGGTATTAGCTTTTCGGATTCTATTATAGGCATTAGTGTCTTGAAGAATAGCTTTTCGAAGTGTTTTGAAATGATTGGTAATTTTGAAATAGGTTTATATGACGATATGCATTCTAGCAGCTTGCCTGGTTTTGGAATCATTCTTACATCTGCAATACTCCATGGGCTAGGAATATATTTTAGATGTATTGGTGTATTGAATTGCATCAACAATTTGCGAACAGTTTTATCTGGTAACTGATAAACCAGGCGCCTTTTTAATTTTCAAGTCTTTTATTGGTCATTTTAGTTCACGTTTTGATATTCGATCGATGAGCTGGTTTTTACTCTCTGTGACTATCAGTAATTCATCACAACGCACATTACTAGACTGAAATATTTTCGTCAGGTTATTTGCGAAAGCTTCGGTTTTTTCTTCATTGCTTCTGATCCATTTTCAGAATCCATTTTTCAATGTTCAAAGACAGCAGTCTTTGAACATTGGTGTGTAGGTAATGGGTTTCTTTAAGTATTTTGTCGATTTCCACACAGAGTGTTCGGTCCAATAATGGATCATTGTGGTACCAATGGACCACAAGCATTGGTACGTATATAGACTGAAAGATCAGTATACGATCAATGCCGAAAAAGGAAACAACTTCATCATTAGGTAAAGAAAAACGAACCTGACAGTTCTATGAATTCGGCTAAGGATGACAGCTCGGTCAGGTCGATTAGAAAAGGGGCCTCGAAGATTTTTGATCTTCTCCTAGCTAGAGAAGGGCATTGACAAATGAAATGGAACACGACCTCGCCCGCATCTTCAGAGCCACAGCCGCGAGGTAATGACAATAGTTAGGAAATAAAGTTTTTCCGCGATTAAAGAGATATGCGCTAATTTCGAAAACTCAACCATTTTTTTATTTATAAAAAATAAAAGTTTTTCTGATTTTACTTGTAGTTCAAAGAATTTAACAAAATATCTGAAACGTGATATTTAAACTCTTTGAACTACATTTCAGTAAACAAAATTTCGATAAATGTTAAATGAATACATTCATTCAAAAGAAATAAATACATTCCGCAAAAAGGAGTAAAACGAGTGTTTCTACGGAAACACTGATAAAATGAGAGCACAATAAAAAGGATAGTTTAACAAAAAAGAATAACAATTTTTCAGTTAAAAAATAATGCACATTTAAGCAAATCCTGGAAACATGGATCCATTTCAAAATGCTTTATGTAGTGAAACAATGTTGCAGCCATTTTGTATGGAATGACTAATAAAATGCGTACAATGCAGTAATGTGGCAACACTGGCGGCATTAATGCTGGCTTTATGTCGCGTTTGATAGCAATTTTTTACTGATTGCTCGCAAATGCAAAGATACTTTATTGAGGAAAAAAGTGTAAAGTAAATAAACAGCATCGGTTTGTTTACTTATAAATTTTATTCATATTTTTTCATGTTTTCTGAAATGGTTAATATTTTTCTGCTTTAAATGTTTTATCTACGATAAATGCAAAAAATAATACAAAAAAAAACCGAGTTGATAAATACGGCTACATAATGCTTTCGTAGTTCCATGAAAAGTACGCAGTTAAAAAGTTTCATTTGAATCATTATTTAATAATAAAACATAATAATAAAAATAATAAAACATCTAATACATAAACTAAAAAAATTAAATACATAGATTTATGTTATAATATTTTTGACATGTATTTTGTATCAGTAATATTAATGTCTTTTTTGTATGGCCTCATGATAATGATATTGCTAAAAAACTATGATCTTAGTAACATTAATTATTATTAACTTATATATATCAATTATCAATATCAATATATTTATAACATATATATACATTAAGTATTGGAAAGTAAGCATTTAGAGAATATCTGCGAATAACAGCAATAATGGATATTAGTTATACTTACTACTTATTTTAAGAAAGACATGTGAATATATATTGATTTACGTACCTGTAAAAAAAATAAAATTAATGAAATATTACATTAGATCTTAATTACTGTTTATATTTTATAAAAGAATTTAAATTTTTAAAAAATAATATATATGTTTGGTAATTTTCATATATTATAGCTTTAAATTGCCTCCACTTGCAGTGATACGCTTAATATTTGAATATTTCTCTTACTCTCTTTTAATCTTTTTTGTGTGTTCAGCCAAATTTCAATATATTAACTAAATTTTTGTTCTTGTCTTTTCTTTGCTATTCGACTCCCTCTAAGTTTTTAAAAGTTTGTTGGTAAGAAAAAATTAACATTGTAATCTTTTATGTTTCACAACCAAATAATTAATAAGTGAAGTCGGTAAAGGTTTGTTCCTTAAATTAATACGAAATTTATTGGATCCTATAATTCATCTTTACTTATTAAAACATCACTGTTACAAGCAACTGTAAGTGAAATAGCAGACTGCAACTAATATTAGCTTAATAAATAAATATGGATAGTCTAAAATTGTATTCAACTGATAGTAAATCTAAGCTTTGCTATCAAAATTAGGTGTTTGAAGTTAATAATACATCATCTAAATGCTTTTAGATGGAAACTAGAATATCCAGGTAACTCTTATTTTACAAACTGGATTACTGGATTGGAAAAATTGCTGTAGATTTATTAGATAAAGCCGAACACATTCGAAAACTTAAGAGACATAATTGATTTTCCATTTAAATAATTTTTTAATAATTTTTAGTTTTTATTTTTTTTTTATTATTAGAAAGTAGTCTATATAACTATTGCCGATGTTTGAAATTCGTTTGACATCTTTCTTTGATGGAGTATTATTAAAACTCCGCCCAAAGGAAAAATTTAAACGAACTTCGAAATGTCGGCTATAGTTATATAGACTATTTATTATATATATATTAAAGAGAACCAAAATACAAAATAATCTATAAGCTTTATGTATTTTTACTTTAGTCTTTTTAACAATTAAAAATAACTAAAAAAGTTAACTACAACTATTCTAAATTATAAACTAAATAAGAAACTAAATAAGAAATAAATAAGAAATAAGAAATAAATAAGAAATAAATAAGAATAACTAAATAAGAAAGCTTAGAGTTATCTTTTTTTTTTTACTTATGATATTTAAAGCTAATTAAAACTGCTATTAAAGTGAATAAAGTGTTATTAAGTTGATACTTAAGCTGTTAGAGTGTTTATTACTTTTAATTTATTTTGTATAATTATTAAATACACGCTTCAATGATAACTATATAATATGGATTGAAAATAAAATAATAACTAACAGTTTTGTATTTCGTTAACACAAGCCTTTAATAACAAACATAATAAATGTGTAATGCATTTATTAAAATATTATAACATATTGCCATATATACTAAAATGAAATAATAATAAAATATAAAATAATTAAAAATGTTTTAAACGGGCTTAATGGACAACCATAAAAATAATATTTATCTACATAATTTAATCAACATTTTTTAAAATTTGCTTATTATTAATATATAATAAATAGATAAAGATATAAATAATAATTACAATATATATATATTGTAAATCGTATTTAAAAATTGTATGGGATAAAATAGAATAACTTGTAGTTGAATTAAAAAAAACATAACTCTAGTAACAAAAGTTATAATATTAATAACGATTATTTAATTAATAATATTTTGGTCTATGCAGAATAAACAAAATTTTAGATGCATAATATGCTTTTAAGAATGTGTATACGATATAAGAATATCGAACTTTATTCGTTTCATATCATTTATATAAAAACAATTGTATAAGTAAAAATTGTTGCATATATCAAGGCGCGAGTAAATAACATATGCGATCCTGTTAACAACAGAAATTCAACACTGCACATACGATCTTAGAAGCTATTTTAAAATTAATATCAAATAATTGAAAATAAAAGAAAAAAAAGATCTCTAATTTGATACAAATTACAATGGCAGTTCACAAGGATAATAGACAAAATTTGATTTCGCGATGTTTTCAAACAGTGTCAGTAGAAGAAAAATATTTATCTTAAAAAAACAATGATACATTAATAATCAATAAAAATATATATTAAGACAGTTCTTCGATTTTTAGGTTGACTTAAATTCTTCGAATCTAACAGTAGATACTGCTCAAATTTATTATAAATAATTTAATAAACCTTATACCTATTACCTTATTTTTAACCGTAGAAGTCCCACTGCCATTTTATTTGAAATAAGCTATAATAATGGTTTTAATATCAAGGAAAATCCTCCTAGGCCATTATACGATTAAATGAAACCATCATTTAAAAGTGTCATTATTTTTATACATTTTGTATAATAACCGCTCGAGGATATTCCTTAAATGGCAGAAAGCGCAGCATTTTGTAGGAAGATACTCTGTCCTTTCATTAAATAATTGATATGTCATAGTAATGTATTGACTATGCTTCATGGTAGCATTTCTGTAGTAAGTCTACTTTTAATTAAAATGCAAAATAAAATGTTTTTAAAATGATACATTTTATTAAATGATATTATTATATTACCAATGTATAAGCGTGTATAAATATTGTTTCCTGGTTTTAATTATAAAGAAAACTTCATTTGAATTAAGGTAATTTCAACAGCAACTGAACCTATAATTGAACCACCATTATATGTATTATTAAAGTAAAATTATTAACAATAAAGTAAACTAGTATATGCAATTTTCACGCTGATTACTTAATTTAATTTTTTTCACCTGAAAAGTTTTTTCAACTTTTGAGCACAATATCTTGCAAACTAGATTCTATTGACATACATATAGGGGAAGGGAAAGAATTTTTCAAAATTAATCAATTAATTAAAATCCGTTGTAAAATGGTAATGTCCGGATTAATCAGAATTAGGCCAGAAAGAACGATATAATTTGATTTGATTTATAAATTTTAGAATAAAATAATTTAAACATTAATTTATTATCCTCGTAGTATAAAACATCATGTTGACTACAACTTATAGTTCCATGACTAAAACCCAAAAATTACTTAAGTTCTATATCAGGAATACAATTTATTAGGTAATTGAATTTTTAAATTTGCATTAATATTAAATTACGCATATTTAAAGCAAAATTTCAAATTTACTTCTCAGCACTTTTTTCCAGATATTTAGCAACTTTTATACAGAACATAAAATGCCTGCATAAATGCATTAAAAATATATTTTATGAACCACTTTATGTTTTAGTTTAACATTAAGTATATATTTTGTTTCCATATAATTTTTCCTTTTGATATTTACAGTCGAACATTATTTTCAAAGGCGATTTATTGCTTTAGCAATGCGACGAAGCATTAAAAAGCGGTCCAGCGTCCACAGCATCCACAGCGTCCAGAGCGTCAAAAGCGTCAACAGAAGGCTTAATAGCAAGTGTCTGCGCTTTGACCATAATTTCTTTTGCCGGTTTCGGTTTTATGTGGGCAACGAGGAAAATGTTTTCATTGAGAAAGTGGCTGAAAGCTACAAACTTGCTGAACTGCATTGAAATACATATTGACAAGTTTATACTCATAAATATACACATATTTTTATGGTATTGCAAAGTGTTGAAAGCTACAGTCTT